GTTCAGAGAGGGAACATTCAGTGTTCAGAGAAGGAGTGTTCAGTGTTCAGAGAGGGAATATTCAGCGTTCAGAGAGGGAGCGTTCACAGAAGGAACAGTCAGCATTCAGAGAGGGAGCGTTCAGCATTCAGAGAGGGAACGTTCAGCATTCAGAGAGGAAGCGTTCAGCGTTCAGAGAGGGAACGTTAAGCATTAAGAGAAGGAACATTCAGAAAGGGAACATTCAGCGTTCAGAGAGAGAGTGTTCAGTGTTCAGAGAGGGAGTATTCAACATTCAGTGTTTACAGAGCGACCGTTCAGTGTTCACAGAGGGAACGTTCAGTGTTCACAGAGGGAACGTTCAGCGTTCACAGTCGCTCCTCATGTCTTTATTTGGCAGCAGGTGAAGCTGTGGAGCTTCTCACTCTGACAGTTTGTATAAACCAGATCAGAGCGACGAGCTCAGTCACATAAACAGACCAAACAAGGTGCAGAGAGACACCGAGCTGAGACTGAGGACAGTCCACTGATTCAAACCAACTTTATTAATCTCACATTCACTGACAAACACCAGTAACCAGGTAACAGCCGTAACAGTGGACTAGACGTGTGATGTCACAGTAACTGATCTAAATACAGGCTGAATTCTAATGGAGGACAGGACTCACTTTACTGGAGCTTTTATCTTGGACTCTCTTCCTCCTCCACATCTCTGACTCTCTGTTACCATGGAGACTCATCATTAACAGACTCATCAATCATTAACAGCTGATAAACATTTAATTCTTATAAGTTAAAGCTCCATATTTTCTCTTCTGTGTTTTGATCCATAAGAAGACATATTTGTGGTTTTACATCTCCTTTCGGCAGCTTCTCTCTTGAGCTCTTGTAACAACAGGTCAGTGAGCCATTTAGAGGAGCTGACTGTTTTCTGAGTGATCAAATAAAAAATATAGCAGATTTCAGGTAAAACACTCAGAGAAACCAAATCCTGCAAGGTTTGGATGGTGGATCCAGGTGGGCGGGGCTTGTGACTGCTTTGTTGTGACATCACAAAGTTCCAGAAGTCCTGACGGCTGGTTTTAAGGCTCAGTTTCTGAATACAGGCTGTGTGCATTTCTCTGTGGACTGAGGCTTTGATACTTTCACAGTATTAATATAGAAGCTAGAGCTGATCTATAATCACACTACACATGGACACAGACCTTTACACTGGAGGAGCTTTAACTAATCTGTGTCTCATGATGTTTCACACTCACGCATCAGCCTGTTGAGCTCAGCCTGTGGCAGGGTGTTGAAGGCATCATTGGTGGGGGCGAAGAAGGTGAGCGCCCCCTGCTGGTTCAACAGCTCCGTCATACCTGCAGTCTGGATGGCACCGACCAGGAGACTGAAACGACAGAGGTTTGTTTGTTTGTTTCTTATACCTTTGTTAGAAGGGGGGGGTTTAGTGACTTCCTGTTTACATCCCCAAAAGCATTATGGGAACTGCAGTTCCAAAAAAAACTTTACATTTATTATTATTATTATTATTATTATTATTATTATTATTATTATGAATAATAATGATAATTATTATCATTATTATTATCTGACTGAGAGGACACAGAGAGGAGGAGCTGATGGACTCTGGACCACTTCACTCTCCGTCTGGTGAAACCATCACAGTAAATTTCAGACCAGAATGTTCCTGGAACTAACTGAACAGGCACAAAAGGTTCAGTCTGATCCAGCAGAGTGGGCTGCTGGGAAATATCTGTCTACCACTGTTTACCTGCATTTACCAGAGGTGAGGAGGAATCTCTGATTGGTCAGTGTTCTCACCTGAAGCGGTCGTCTGCCTTCAGGACATCCATGATGGTTCCCATAGGAGGAGTGAGGACTTTGTCCACAGTGAACATGGAGGCGTAACGTCCGGTCTTATCATGAGCAGCGATGCAGGCATTCTCAATGCACAGGTTCTACAACAGAACAACAGAACACCTGAGACACAAGGTCCACAAATTGACTGAAGAAAAACACCTTCACCCCCCACTGACTGTGACTGAGTCCAGAACCACATTCATTCAGCCAGAACCTAATCAGACATGAAAACACAGGTGCTGCGTTCTGATTGGTCAGAATCTTTATCATCTACAGTCTCTGTAAGTCCAGACTGTGACGTACATCTCTACGCAGACGACAGCACTTCATCACCATGATCTTTTTATCAAACAGTCTAGACTCTCAGGGTCTGGACTCTCTGGTTCTGGACTCTTGGGTCCAGACTCTCGGGTCTGGACTCTCAGCAACATGTGAAACCTGACAGACAAACTGCAGGGCAAACATGGACTTCACAGAAACCAGACCTGTCAGTTGGTCTGCTGCTGCTGTGGTGATTTGATATGATATGTTATTTCTCTATGAACCTCCCTGTGTCCTCTGGTCTCACAAAACACAGCACTGATAGGTCAGAGATCACAGGTCACAGGTCTTCGCTCCCTATTGTCTCACCTGTGTGTGTCCACATTTAAACTTTATTGTTTCATTCACTGGTTTCTCCGGAAAAAAATCCTGCTGTTGATGAGACCTGTTTAAATACATAAAAAATATCTCTGAGTCAATCAGACAGCAGATCTGAACCCTGAAGGTCTAAAGTCAGAGCTCAGTCCTGAACCTGGTCTGAAGAGAACAAGAGCTCCTCTTCTCCATCATTAGACAGAGACAGACTGTCTCGGTACCCATACACACACACACACACACACACACACACACATACACACACATACACACACACACACACACACAGACACACACACACACACACACACACACACATACACACACATACACACACACACACACACACAGACACACACACACACACACACACACACACATACACACACATACACACACACACACACACACAGACACACACACACACACACACACACACACATACACACACATACACACACACACACACACACAGACACACACACACACACACACACACACACATACACACACATACACACACACACACACACACAGACACACACACACACACACACACACACACATACACACACATACACACACACACACACACACAGACACACACACACACACACACACACACACATACACACACATACACACACACACACACACACAGACACACACACACACACACACACACACACATACACACACATACACACACACACACACACACAGACACACACACACACACACACACACACACACAGTGTCTGGAAAGATTTAGCAGCTGTGGGAAGCAGGAAACTTCTTGTGGTCTGCAGAGTTCATTACCAAGCAGAAATGTGAGCCACCCACGGGTCCCGGACCTGGAACATGTGGAGACCAACAGAGACCACCTCAGATCTGATCCGCACACCATCAATAACACTGTCAGTTACACATGTAACACGTTTCCTGCTGTGACCCGAGGAGTTTCTATTATTATTATTATTCTTCATCGATCAATTATCAAATCAATCATTCATCAATAATCACAGTCCAACGAACCAACGATCAGCATCAGGCTGAACAAACCACTGACTGTCAGTCTGAGTCCTCCAGGACCAGCAGGAGTCCAGATACTGCTGAGTCCTGAATCAAAAACCTCATCATTCTAATGAGGACCTGATCCAGCTGTGATCCAGGTGTTATTACCTGTATCTAATGACACGTCGTATGAACCTGTTAGGTTCAACTCTTGCTTTCAATCATCTGTCACATGATGTGGTGGGTTAGTGGTGATGGACCCCAGCGTCAGTGTGGGGCCCCGTCCTGCTGGCTCCTACGTGCAGGACTTTTATTTTGGTGTGCTATGTCTGATTCATCACCCCAGGAAGCTGTGGATGATGTCATCACCACATGTGGTCGCAGCAAGGAGGCAGAAGTGCATGCTCTCATGCACTGAAACATCATCTTCAAATGAAAGTTTCCTCTCACAGATCAGACCTGATCAGGATCAGGTTCAGGTTCAGGTTCAGATTCAGGATCAGTATCAGGATCAGGATCAGGATCAGGATCAGATTCAGATTCAGATTCAGGTTCAGGTTCAGATTCAGATTCAGGATCAGGATCAGGATCAGGATCAGATTCAGATTCAGGTTCAGATTCAGGATCAGGATCAGGATCAGGATCAGATTCAGGTCCAGGTCCAGGTCCAGGTCCAGGTCCAGGTCCAGGTCCAGCTCAGATCAGACTGGGTTTGACTCATATCCTCAGGTCATTAATGAAAAACAGACACAAACTCAGTGACCCCATGACATCATCAGTGAAGAGGCGGAGACTGCATTCACAGCTGATGATGACAGATGATCCTTCCAGTCCGCCCGGCAACAGACGACACAGCCTAAATATTCAGCACAGGCTGCAGCAGATTCAGCTCTGAGCTTGGTCTCAGTGAGACTCAGAACTGAAGGATTCAGGACTCAGACAGTCTGAGGTCTCTGCAGGATCCAGGTCTGAGTCACCGTCAGAAAAACACGGTTCCAGGAAAATGAAAACCACTGTCTCATTACTGACACAGCGGTTTAGTTTCTCATGTCACGACCAGATTCAGTAGCAGCTCCGTCAGACCTGGACTCATCAGGACTTCCTGTTCTGACTCAGCTCACATCAAGCAGCCCTCAGTAGAAAACCACCAAACACTGAGCCAAACCTGCACCCAACAGGGTCCAGCCTGGTCCTCCAGACAGCCCACGAACCAGAGTGTCAAACATCATCATCAGCAGCAGCTGAGAAAAGCCAGGTTTGTCTACACCTGACAATTCCCCAGGAACCTGGACTTCACTCACAGACTTCCCTCCACTACATTTCAAAATAAAGCACTTCCTGTTGAGCTGTTTATCTGAGATTCAAATTCACATTAAAAACAAATGAGTTCAAACAACACTTTTAAATATTTGAGATTTATCCAACCCCCAGGTTGGGAACCTGTGGGTTGAACTATCAAAGTGTGTCTGATCTGGTTGAAGCAGCTCCACCTGGAGCAGCTACAACCAGCTAAAACCAGACCAGGTCTGAGGACTGCAGCCAGACTCTCACGTTTCTGTAGACGAAGACTCTGAGTCTGAGTCCTCCCAGAGTCTCCAGCTCCTGACCGTGGTACAGAGACTTAGAGGACAGCTGCTCTTTCAGGATGTGGTTGGTCATCAGCTTCCTCATGTCAGGAGTCATCGTCACACTTCCTGTTACACACAGACAGGTAAACACATTATAAACTACCTGTCAGACACAGACAGGTAAACACATTATAAACTAAATTGTGTGTTACCTTTGAAGGCATCGTTCAGCGGAGCCAGCATGGTCAGAGCCTCTGACCCCGTCAGGTGGGGTCTCAGACCGGCTTCATCAAACAGTTTGGTTGCCGTAGAAACAGATGAACCTTCAGCAAGCTCCAGGAGAGTTTTGGCTGAAACAGACAAAATCATTTAAATCACTGTAACATAGTCGGGATGTGTTGTATTATCCACAGTAATGTATTTTTTCAGCATTAGCAGCAGCATTAGAAGAAGTAGATTCAGCATCAGCAGCAGTAGTTTCAACATTGCCAGTAGTAGTTTCAGCATTAGCAGCAGTAGTTTCAGTATTAGATGCAGTAGTTTCAGCATTAGAAGCAGTCATTTCAGCATTAGCAGCAATAGTTTCAGCTATATCAGCAGTAATTTCAGCTATAGCAGCAGTAGTTTCAGCATCAGCAGCTGTAGTTTCAGCTATAGCAGCAGTAGTTTCAGCTATAGTAGCAAAAGTTTCAGCATTAGCAGCAGTAGTTGCAGCTATAGCAGCAGTAGTTTCAGCATTAGCAGCAGTAGTTTCAGCTATAGTAGCAGTAGTTTCAGCATTAGCGGCAGTAGTTGCAGCTATAGCAGCAGTAGTTTCAGCATTAGCAGCAGTAGTTTCAGCTATAGTAGCAGTAGTTTCAGCATTAGCGGCAGTAGTTTCACCTATAGCAGCAGGAGTTTCAGCATTAGCAGCAGTAGTTTCAGCTATAGCAGCAGTAGTTTCAGCATTAGCAGCAGTAGTTTCAGCTATAGCAGCAGTAGTTTCAGCATTAGCGGCAGTAGTTGCAGCTATAGCAGCAGTAGTTTCAGCATTAGCAGCAGTAGTTTCAGCTATAGTAGCAGTAGTTTCAGCATTAGCGGCAGTAGTTTCAGCTATAGTAGCAGTAGTTTCAGCATTAGCGGCAGTAGTTTCACCTATAGCAGCAGGAGTTTCAGCATTAGCAGCAGTAGTTTCAGCATTACTAGTAGTAGTTTCAGCATTAGCAGCAGCCCTGGAAGCAGTAACAGTGGGATCAGTACCTGAGTCAGGGATTAGCAGCTCATTGATGTAGTGGATGACTCCGTTGGTGCCCAGCTGATCTTTCTTGGTGATGATGGCCTTCCCATTCAGAGTCATCTGGTCTCCGTCACAGCCGACTTCCAGCACAGTGCCCTGCAGAGTCTCCATCGGAGTTCCTGACACGATCGATTCCGCGCATTGCATCTGCTTCAAGATGTGGTAGTTCAGCAAGTCTGGGGGGGGGGGGGGGGGGGGGACACAGTGGTACACTAACATCAGAGTCAAGTTCATCAAACAGTTATCAGAGTGAGAGGGAGAGTGCCTCCTGCTGGTCACCTCTCAGAGCCACAGGGTCTCCCAGTATCCTGTTCAGGGTCTCCTGCGGAATCTTCTCAAATGCCTCATTGGTGGGAGCGAAGACGGTGTATTGACCCTCGTTCTCCAACATGGCAGTCAGACCTGCAGCAGCAATGGCCGTCTGAAACACATCAGAGGTGGTCAGTCTGAAGTCTGAATGTGACTCTGGGTAAGACTCAGTGACAGAGTGATGTACTTACACGCAGAGTCTCCAGGTCGTCATCGATGTCGATGAGCGTCTGCACATTATTGGAGATGGCGGTGATGACACGGTCAACCACATGCACAATGCCATTGGTGGCATGTTGGTCAGGTTTGATCAGACGAGCGCAGTTCACTGTCACAACCTGAGGAGGTGAGGAAGAGGAGGAAATGTATTGGAAGTAGAGCGATGCACCGCCAGGAGGAGCAGCGTCTAACCAGTTAAAGCTAAAAAAGTGTGACATCTCTCCTTTTTTCTGATCTCAGTGTGTTACAGCGTGTTGCAGTGTGTAACAGTGTGTTGCAGTGTGTGTTACAGCGTGTTGGAGTGTGTTACAGTGTGTAACAGTGTGTTGCAGTGTGTGTTATAGTGTGTTAAAGTGTGTTGCAGTGTGTTACAGTGTATTACAATGTGTATTACAGTGTGTTACAGTATGTTACAGTGTGTTGCAGTGTGTGATATAGTGTGTGTTGCAGTGTGTTACAGTGTGTGTTACAGTGTATTACAGTGTGTATTATAGTTTGTGTTTCAGTGTATTACAGTGTGTATTATAGTGTGTGTTGCAGTGTATTACAGTGTGTATTATAGTGTGTGTTACAGCAGTGTGTTTATTTATTTATTTATTCTTTATTTACAAGGATAGCCCCTTGAGATGTCCCATCTCATTTTCGAGGGGGTCCTTACAGATGATACAAAACAAAACGAAACACAAAAACGACATCATAGTAGGAAATCATAATAAAGGTAAATACAACACAAGACTATACAAGACAATTAGACGCAGAGACAACCACACTCATACACACGTACACTCAAACTTTGCTCCCATAGTCACTCCCCTTCCAGCCCACACCATAATCAGAACCAATCAGTGAACCATCTGCCAAAATACAACTGCAAGGTGACATGAATGCACATACATATAATAAACAGCATAAGGGAGAGGAGAGAAGAAAAATAAAAATAAAAGAGAGAGAGATCAGAAACAGGAGCAGGATGTTTGAAGATGAGTAAGAAGAGATGATTTGAAGATATGGAAAGAGGTAATAGACCTGAGTGAACGGGGAAGATTGTTCCAGTCTGTTGGAGCTTTAAATTTAAATGCACGACGACCTATTTCTTTGTTGACTCTGGGTGTAAGGAAGAAGGGATGATCCGTATGCCTTAAGCTGTACTGTGAACTAAAGGGAATTAGGTAATGTTTCAGATATGAAGGGAAATTGAAATGAATACACTTAAAAATAAACAGTGACCAATGGAGTTGCCTTCTTGACTTTGGGGCCAGCCAGTTCAAGGACTCATATAACAGACAGTGATGGGTTTTATAGGGACATCTAAGCACAAATCTACAGAGACTATTGTATAATACTGTGAGAGGACGGAGATTTGATTCTGAGGTGTTCCCATAGATAACATCAGCATAATCAAGTAATGGAAGTATCAGTTGAGTTATGATTCTTTTACGGATTTGTTGTGAGAAACAGTGTATGTCGATAGAGAGATTTCAGTTGACAATATATTTTCTTGGAGATTGAGTTGATATGAGTTTTGAAGGAGAGCTGGGAATCAAGCCAGAGACCGAGATATTTAAATCCATCAACTTTTGTCAGAGCTGTTCCATCAAGGAAAGTAATGGACCAGTTTTTAGTTAAGGGCAAAGAATTAGGTCGAGTACAAAACAACATATTATAAGATTTATTCTTGTTCAAGAGAAGCTTATTGGAAGAGAACCATTTCTGAACTAAGTTAAAATCAGATTGTAGGGAGTGTTGGATTTGTGAGATGTCGGAACTGGAAGACTATATTACAGTGTCATCTGCATATAGTAAATGAATTAAACAGTCGGAACAGATTTGTGGAAGATCATTGATGAAGATGGAAAATAAAAGAGGACCTAAGGATGAACCTTGTGGAACTCCTTTATCAATAATTTTGAAGTCTGACTGACTGCCCTGAAAAATAACACATTGACTTCTGTGATGAAAAAAAGAATTGAAAAATAATAAAGAGTCAGAAGACAGACCAATTGTATACAGTTTATCCAGGAGAAGATAATGATCAACCATGTCAAAAGCTTTGGTGAGATCAATGAATATAGCACCTGTTGGCATCTTGCTGTCAGATGCTGATAGTGAATTTTAAAAGAGCAGTGTTGGTCGAGAAATTTGGTCGAAAACCAGATTGGTGTGGGGATAATAAGTTATGGTCATTGAGATATTTAGATAATTGATTAAAGATTAGTTTTTCAAATATTTTTGTTATGATGTTGATAATTGAAATGGGTCTATAATTGTTAATATCTGTGGTATCACCTCCTTTATGAAGAGGAGTTACCCTGGCACATTTCCACGATCGAGGTGTTTCACAAGTAGCCAGTGATAAATTAAATAAATCAGCCAGTGGAAATGACAGTACATGAGAGGCAAGTTTAAAAAATTTAATCTCCAGACCATCTGGACCAGCACTGCATCCTGAACTTATCCCATCGATAACCTGCTGAACATCAGTTGGAGTGATGGTTTTGAAGCAGAAGGATCTATATGTGTTCTGAGTCGGGGTAAAGTCAGAATGAAAAGAAAAAGAAGAAGAGCTGCCAATTGTGGAGAAGTGCTGACTGAAGGCCTCTGAAATTATTAAAGGTTCGCCGACAGTTTCACTGTTTATTCTAATATGAGTAGTGGGGCTATTTGTGGGCTTGTTGGTTATACAATTGATTCTCTTCCAGAATTGCTTTGGATTCTTAAAATCAGTTGATAAACAGTCCTTCTAGTAATTTGCTTTGGCATTTCTAGTATTGGTTTTACATTTATTCCTTAACTCTTTGTAAGCCTCCCAGTCAGCAGAATCCTTTGATATGCGGTATTTTTTCCATGCCTTGACTCTTTGTTTGAATAAATGTATGAGATCTCCTTTGATCCAAGGTAGATGTCGACCCTTAACTTTAATTGATGTCCAAGGAGCATGTTTATCAATTATCTCGACAAATTCCTTATAAAGGTAATTCCATGCGTGTTGTAGTGTGTTACAGTGTATAACAATATGTGTTACAGTGTGTTACAGAGTGTTGCAGTGTGTTACACTCTGTATTATAGTGTGTGTTACAGCAGTGTGTTGTAGTGTGTTACAGTGTATTACAATGTGTGTTACAGTGTGTTACAGTGTGTGTTAGTGTTTTGCAGTGTGTTACAGTGTATTACAGTATGTTACAGTGTGAATTATAGTGTGTTGCATGTGTTACAGTTTGTATTACAGTATGCTACAGTGTGTTACAGTGTATTACAGTATGTTACAATGTGAATTACAGTGTGTTGCATGTGTTACAGTGTGTTACAGTATGTTACAGTGTGTCACAGTGTGTATTACAGTATGTTACAGTGTGAATTACAGTGTGTTGCATGTGTTACAGTGTATTACAGTATGTTACAGTGTGTTACAGTGTATTACAGTATGTTACAGTGTGAATTATAGTGTGTTGCATGTGTTACAGTGTATTACCATGTGTTACAGTATGTTACAGTTTGTATTACAGTATGCTACAGTGTGTTACAGTGTATTACAGTATGTTACAATGTGAATTACAGTGTGTTGCATGTGTTACAGTGTGTTACAGTATGCTACAGTGTGTTACAGTGTATTACAGTATGTTACAATGTGAATTACAGTGTGTTGCATGTGTTACAGTGTGTTACAGTGTATTACAGTGTGTTACAGTGTGTTGCAGGGCTACACTCACCCCGTTGCTATAGTGGTGGATGTGGACGTGGAAGTCCTGGTACATGGAAGCGAAGGAGGACCCGTGTCTCAGCTCCTCGGAAGTCAGTCTGCGGTTCACCATGTGGTAATGAAGAGCGTTCAGCAGCTCGATGTTCACGTTGCTCACGAGAGCGTCCAGGATCTCCTGTAGCAAACAAACAAACAAACAACAAAGTGTCAACATGAACACACCAACATGTCATCATCACTGTCAGGATTGACTTCCTCCTCTGTCTGTGTCTCAGCTCACAGCTCATTGGTTCCTACTGAAGATCTCTGTAGGTTTTATCAGACACACAGGAGGAAACAGAGCTTTTGTTGGGGACTATGTTCAGCAGCGGATTGATACACATTTGTTCCTGCAGTGAGTGTTTGCGGTACTGACGGTGGGCAGGGCGGCCCAGGCCTCGTTGCTCGGGGCAAAGAAGGTGAAGCTTCCTGGACCTTCAATCTCCTCCCTCAGTTTGGCTCGGTCAGAGTACATCTGAGTGGTGGAGGCTCCGACTACACCCAGAGTGTTGTAGATGTTCACCAGAGGCAGTGCTGCAGTGACACACACAAACACACACACATCAGCTGCAGTCACAGTAAACCAGAGTGATGCTGTTTGAACACAAACTCTGTTCAGTTCATACAGTAGGATACTACAGATATTGATTACAGCTGATTTGATCGACTGATGATCAATAAATTCATCTGTCAGTTTGTGTTTTTCACTTCAGTTTGAGGCATGCTGTGTGTGCGTCAGAGGTCAGAGGTCATACCAGCAGGACAGCCCTTCTCTCCAGGAATCCTCTCATATCCAGGACAGCACTCGTAGGTGATCACCCTGCAGTAGGAAGATACAGCACATGAGGAAACTCTTCTCCTTCCTGTCCTCCATCAACCCCCCTCTACCCCTCTACCCCTCCCTCTGTCTGCCTCTGGTCTCTGTGCAGCTCAGACCCAGATCCTGTCTGTGATTCAGGACCCTGAGCCCCGTTCTGCTGGTTTTTGGCCTCAGGTGGAAATTCTCCATAAAACTAAGTTTCCACGTCAGAAGCTCGTAACTTGTCTGTAATATTTCTGCTGCAGGAGACACATAAATTCCTGTCTGTGAATAATGATGCTAATAAAGTTATCTGCACGATGACGCTGCTGCTCAACAGAATCTCCTGTTTCTTTTTTTTTTGATAATTTTCTTTATTGGAGGTAGTTTCACAAGTCGATTACATATTAACAAAAGTAAATCCAACCTTTTTTTCCATTTACTCCCCATGTATCCCTCCCAGCATCTCACCCCTCCCAGGAGAGAGCAGTTATCTTTAAACAAGTAGAGATTTCAAGCAATCGATTCATACAAATATACAAATAAAGAAACACCAAAAAAAAAAACAGAAAAAAATAAATAAATAAATAAATAAATAAATAAAATAAGAAACCAAAACAGGAAAAACAAGTAGGTAAGTAGATAAATGATTAATAATTAATAAGGGGGGGGGGGGCTCAGTCCTCACCTTCAGGTAGAGATATCAAAGATTCAAAATGGTTTAAGAGAGGTTTCCAGGTATTGTCAAATGAGTTCAAGGAACCTTGAAGGGAGAATCTAAGCTTTTCTAGACTGATGGACAGTAAAAGTTCTTTCACCCATCTGTTATAAGATGGGGGTTGAGGGTGTTTCCATTTAAGGAGTATAAGTCGTCTGGCCAACAAGGTAGAAAAAGCTAAAACCGTCTGCATTACTGTAGAGGTTGTAGGTGACAGGGGCGTACCAAACAAAAGGGGTTCTGGAATGATAGTGACATTATATGCTGTGGCAAGAGTTTTAAAAATTTCAGACCAAAATGAATCTCCTGTTTCTATCAGATCATAAACACACTGTTTCCCATAATGCTCCAGTTTACATGGCAGTAAATATCCTTTAATTGTTCGGAGCAAAATCTTGTTTCGAGTCATCAGGATCATCCTGAGTCCAGGACCTGGATCTGGACTCAGAACAGCTCACAGACTGTTGGTTTCTGGTGACGGAGGACTAGGTGGAGGAGATCCTAGATCTTGTTTTGGACAAAGGTCTGAACAGATGTGAAACCAAGTGGAAATTCTTCTGTTTGGGGAGAAGAAATGTTTTTGAATAAACTTTATTAACACAGAGGAAAACGTGGAGGGAACCACTGGAGCTACCGGAGACCAGTCAGCAGCATCTTGGAAACCATTGTAACAGCGTTTACCTGTTAAGGGGGGGAAACTTTGTGCATCATGTTCTGCGGTCCAGCAGAGACCAACAACTTCATTTGTCCATAAACCCAGAAAGCAGGTAGTTCTGCAATGGACCATGTTCATGATAACAGTCTGAAACCTGGACTCAGATCCAGGACTCAGGTTAGAACCCAGGACTCATCTGAACTGTGGTCTGACTTCAGAGGCACCAGGTGGTTCTGTGTCTCAGTGTCACGACAGAATCTGAGCGGACTCTGATCGCTGAGAGAAAGGAGCTGCGACTGAAATGAACTGTCGGTTGTTTCAGTCTTTGGTCTGTAACTGATGTGAAAACACTGTGGGTTTCATCTGTCCAGGTCTCAGGTTCGATTCCCAGCCTCTGAGCCTGATGCAGTGAGCAGCACATGTTGGCTGTAATGAAGCATGGCGGCCAGGCTCAGCGTCACCACTTCCTGTAGAGATTTCCATAATAAATGTGGCTCAGCCGTCTGGGCTCATAAAGCTCATTTCCTCAGAGAGAAGAATCTGCACCAGACCAGACTGGTCTTGACGGGGGACCCACAACCACTGCCAGGAAAAACACTAAACCACCAGGAGCCTGCACCCAGCTGCACACTTCCTGTTCACTACAAAATAAAACGTCAGGCTGAAGACTTAAAAAAAATTGGAAACAATTTTAAAATGAATATAAACTTAACTAACGACCAGCAGGAGGACTATAGCTGAAACTAGTCCGCTAATCCACTGATCAATCAACAAATAATTGATTAATGTGATAATGGATGATTTCTCGAGTATAAACATTTGATCAGCTTCTTAAATCACAGTGAACTTTCTCTCTGGTTTTAACTGAAGATTAATTAATATGTAATCAGGGACCAGGACCAGGACCAGGATAGATGACCCCCCCCCCCCCGGCCCCCGAAAGAAAACCATAGGAGTCCAGGAGCCTGAATCTCCGATGTTTATTGCGGTGTGATGTTTAACTCTGGTTCTTCTCCTGATTGTCTCACATGAATGAGAACAGCATGTCACTGTCAGAGGATATGACTCCAGTTTTACACATGAAGGTCAGTGACATTAACTGCGTTTATTTAAGTTTATACATATTTATTAGTCTCATTATATTTATTATATCTGACACTGCGTTTCTTTTACATCTTGTGTTTGTTGGATGATGTTGTTCAGCTTCATTTTATTATTTTATCTTATTGTAACTGACCTCAGCTGCAGGTGTGTGTTTACCTGACAGATCTGTTTTAATCTGTATCTACTGTACTGACTGCTGACTCAAGTCCTGGTTGCTGGTCTCTGGTCTTTAGCAGCAGTGTCTTTAGTAAAATAAAGTTTCATGTCTGGAGACAGAAGAAGGTAAAGGTCCCAGAGCTCCTGCAGCCTCCAATCACAGCGGCAGTAAAATGTAAACAGATGGAGATCAGCTACCGACTGTGTGTGTGTGTGTGTGTGTGTTTGTGTGTGTGTGTGTGTGTGTGTGTGTGTGTGTGTGTGTGTGTGTGTGTGTGTGTGTGTGTGTGTGTGTGTGTGTGTGTTGGCACACACACTGGACTGATTATCAAACCAGATGGAACTTGACTCTCGTTTGTTCCACACATAAACAAAGATGGCCGCTGTGGACTACTGACAAAATAAACAGAGTGAGGTCACGGTAACTCAGCGGGGCTGGGGGGGTTGAGCTGGAGGGAAAAAGCCAAAGTGAAAAGACTGAAGTGTTGACCCTGAACAGTCTCTGAGGAAAGTTTCAGCAGGATGAAATGACTTTAGCAGAGAAGCTAACGTTTACCACTGCCTGTAAACGCAGCTCCTCCTGTTGCTCTGACTGCACCTGAATGCAGCATGAACTGAGAGTGAACACTTCCTCTAATCAGGTACAAACATCAGAGGAGCCAGAACTGTGCCCTGAGGATCATCATGAAAGAACCACTACTAGTCAACATGACTGCAGGTCACATGGTTTAATGTCGAAGAAAAGTCAGAGTTCAGTTTTTGGACTGGAGGACTAAGGGTGGGGGTGAAGAGGGGGTGGTGAGTTACGAGTCTCCCTTCTGCTGACCTCTGACCTGCTGATCCTCCTCCACAGAAACCCACTGACACACAACCAGAGAGACAAAGACAGGGCTGTTCACACATACATACACACACACACACACACACACACACACACACACACACACACACACACAACTTCTATATTCATGGGGACCCATCATGGATGTAATACATTCCCTCACTCTGATCTACACCATGTCTGAACCTGGACTGGACCAGACAAAACTGCCCCCCCGCCCCCACCATGAGTGTAAATGTAATTAAACTGTTTTCACAGACGGTGTGTGTGTGTGTGTGTGTGCGTGTATGTGTGTGTGAGAGTGTGTGTTTATGTGTGTGTGTGTGTGTGTCCTCTAACAGCTTCACTTCCTACAAACGTCCACAGAAACTCTCACTTCCTCTTTTCCTGGTTTCCTGTTCTGAGCTGAAAGAATCTTTTTCTTCAACGTTTTTAAGCTGCATTCAATGGCCTGTTCACAGACTGAGACGCCTCCATGACCTCCACCACCTCAGCACCAGGAAGAAGCTGAAGTATCTCAGAAATATACAGATACAAACTGTAAACTAACAAAACCATTTCCAAGCAGCTGCTAGACTCCTGACGTTATGACATCATCAAACAGACTTCACCGTCACATGATAAGAGGTCAAGGTGTAGCACACAACCTCTTAAAATGTTTCCTTAGTAAAGGAAAAAAGTTAAGGAGTTTACAGCAGTGAAAAAGAGTTTACTGCATCGTTAAGGAGACTCCAGGTCGAGGATCATCACCTTCGAGGGACGTTTTAAACTCAGACATGTTGCAGAGACACAGTCACAGGTCCCTTTAGTTTCTCCCTTAGGTTGGTCACTAAGGTCTTTTGTGCAACACTTGAACTGACTTTCAGTGATTCATTAAGTATGAGACTAAGATAAGGAGAAAACCTCAAATACTTATGTGAACATTTTAAGGAAAATCTTAACTTAAGGTGTTTTGTGAAACCGGCCCCAGAGACCAGGACTGTCCTGGACGTCCTCCACAGTCACCTGACCTCAGGCCCACTGAACACTACGGGGACAGTTGAAGACGGAGGAAGATGTGATGATGGGGGGACAGAGTCATCATCAGTCTGTTGTCTTCAAAGACTGAACTCTGAAGACCAGGAGGACACAGAGACGCCTGATGAAGATGAAGACCAGACTGAGTCAGCTTCTGTCCTCAGTCAATTTATAACTATCTCTTAAATCCTGATGATTTCTGTCTCTGTCATGTCCACAGCTCTGCAGGGACACAGCTGTGTCTCAGGAATGTGTCTCTAAGAGTCCTGGAGTCCAGCAGCTGGTTTCAGACTCAGACTCTGGTTCAACCTCCATCAAGGTTTTCAGCTCAAACAGGAAGTGAACACAGAGACTCCAGGTGATTATCACTCTTACTAAAGCCAGGTCTGAGGACACACGCACACACACACACACACACACACACACACACACACACACACACACACACACAGCTCTAATCCTGTTCAGCTCATGCAGAGTGAGATCTGCGACACAGCTGGTCCACTGCTGCCAGAGCCTCATTAATAATGTGTGTGTGTGTGTGTGTGTGTGTGTGTGTGTGTGTGTGTGTGTGTGTAAGTGTGTGTGTGTGTGTAACTGGAGTTTCTTTGTTTCTGTCACATGTCGAAGTCTAAAAGCATCAGATCTTCACTTCGTTATCAAAGAGTGAAAACACATTAACGAGGATCAGCAGTAAAAACAGACGTTCACACACACATGCGCGCGCGCGCACACACACACACACACAAACCAAGTCCACCAAAACCTGGACCTGCAACAAACCACATCCTCCTAAACACTGAGTGTCGTCATAACTACGACCCTGAGACTGCATCAAAGAAGAAGCACCTCTAAACTGGACTGAAGAAGACGAAACATCTGAAACATCTGGAACCAGCTCAACTTTAAACCTTCACTTTACTGCTGCAGAACATCAAAGACTCAGTTCAGCAGGTTTTACATGAACAGGATGAAGAGATGTGTTTGTTTGCAGATGATGTGATTCTCTATATAAACACAGTCTCTAGTCCCGGACTGATCCTGTCCCCCTCAGTCTGAACTGGTCTACTAAAGACCACATTAGACAAAGACTCATACACTTCAACCTTCAAACTGTCTCCGTCTTCAAACATCAACGGATCTAAATGAGAAAGTCTTGTGCAGATTATTTTCGTTATTGATTAATCTGCTTTATATAAAACTATTGTCTCAATGAATCAGTTATTAATTTAGTCTGATAAACCTCAGACTGAATATTTCACTTACTATAAAGATTTCTCACATCTGATAAATTTGAACCAGCAAATGTTCAAATGTTGATCAATTTATTGATTAATGGACTGATCGTTGCAGTTGTCATGATTAATCATGTGATCTTTGATAAACGTGTCTCATTGGTCAGTTTTCCCGCCTCTGTAAACTACAGCCTGATACACGGTGTTTTAGTCAGTCAGTGAACACACCAGGAGTCTCTCCCAGGACCTTGAACACACCAGCAGGTAAAGCTCTGAGCTGCAGACTAAAGCAAACATGTGGACATGTCCTGTGAGTGAACCCTGCTGGTCCTGGCCCTGGTGCTGGTGCTGGTCCTGGGAGGTAAACTGACACTGATGGTTCTGCCAGACTCTTTTCTTCTTCAGGGGTTATATAAGAGGTGAGGACACCTCCGGAGAGGGACATTCCTCCTCCACTGAACACAAATTCCCTCCGTCCAGCAGGACGACAGTCAGACTACACAAACAGACACACACTCAAGTAGAAATCCAGACACAGAAATAGATCAAGACCAGAACCAGAAGAAGTCAGTCCTGAGGACAGCTGACAGAACACAAAGAAAAACATTTTGTTTTGCTTTTTAAATCAAACTCCAGCATTTCTGTTCTGTTCAGTGTCTGAGAGTCCAGACTCGGGTTTCATACTCACGTGGGTTTGCCGCAGATCTTGCGATGGTACCACTGTTTACAGTTGGTGAAGTATTTCTTATCCGTGCCTTTAATCTGCTGCATGGCACAAACGTTGGGTCTGAAAGAGACGAAGAGAGACACAGGTCAACAACAACAGGTCAACAACAACAGGTGATTTAAACAGACTCTGAAAGCTTCTCCCTCAGAAAAATAAATAAGTTGAAACATGAAATCAGCTGGAACTGTTTTATTCCAGAGGCATTCCACCTTAAACTTAGTATGAACAGTTTAAGGTGGACAGTGAAGGACACAGTTCCTCTGTAAAGAGACCAGATCCTGGTTTATCTGAACTGTAAAACTAATTCCACCTTAAACTGAGGACTACAGGTTTAAGGTGGTCTGATGGTCCTGGTCCCACTGTTGTGATGCTGTTAACTTTTGTTCAGAGACGGTGGTTTTAATTCGTGATCCAGATTCAGGGACCTGGTTTAGTCCCGCAGCGATCTCTCAGAGAACAAACCGCGGAGACCAGAGCCTCGGTTCGAGTGGGAGCGGGATTAGACTCACCCCTGCTGCCGGCCTCTGATCCGGCTGTGCTGCAGGACCGCCTGGTACGGAGACCGGGCCACACAGACGGTCAGAACCAGGGACAGACCCAGGACCAGACCCGGGACCAGCACGCACACATTCATCTCTACTGTCTGACGCGAAGACGAAAATCCTGCTGCTCAGTCTCTTCTTCTCTTTCTGCTTCTTCCTCTTCCCGCTCCGCAGCCCGAAGTCCCCCCAGTCCAGGAGAGACCAGATTTATGAAGGGGAGGGGGAGGAGAGGGGAGGGGAGGGGAGGGGAGGAGGGGAGGAGTGAGGAGGGGAGGGGCGGTACACAAGACACCAAGATGAAGAACTGAGGTTCTTTAGTTCAGGAAAATATGAAAACCACAGAGGAGGGAGGGAAGGAAAGAAGGAGGGAGGGAAGGAGGGAAGGAAAGGAGGAAGGAAGACAACAGTAAGAATTCAATGATAACATGATCTGTTGATTCATGTCTCAGACCAGATCCAGGTCCAGGTCCAGGTCCAGATCCAGATCCAGGTCCAGATCCAGGTCCAGGTCCAGGTTCTGTCCTTGTGACAGTTCAGATCTGCAAGACAGAACTGAGTTTGGTCCAGCATGTCTGAGTCCAGTAAAAACCAGACTGGAACCAGACCTGGACCAAAGACGGGTCTCTGGATGTGGACCTGGTCTCCGGAGTCAGAGTCTAGCTGAGACTCTGAGGTTTAGACTGATGATACGTTTCCATAAAAACAGAGACACGTACAGATGAAGGGATGAGTCTGTCAGAGTTAGATCCAGGTCCAGGTCCAGGTCCAGGTCCAGGTCCAGGTCTCAGACTCTGATCAGATCTGTTTGATGTTGAAGGAAAGAGAAAAGATTGTGCTCCCTTTATGTGCCAGTGATAAAATCTGACATCTGGAACATTAAGTCAAGCTGTGCTGCGTTCAAGAGCATAAAACTGAAACGATAAACAAATACAAACATGGAAACTTCCTGAATGTGTTCACAGCTCTGACAGGTGACCTTAGGACACAGGTGAGTTCACTTCACCTGAGTGAAGAGGAAAAGAGACAGTAGCTACTGAAACATCATCCAGCTGTTTGTGTCTCTGCAGAGCTTCTGCAGAGCCAGGAAGGAGAGGAGGATGAAAACGTCAGACAAAAAAAACAGGATTCTGGAGGTTTCATCAGATTCAATCAGTAACTGGTCCAGACCGGTCCTGGTCCTGACTCATTTCATTTCTTGTTAAAGACCAGATTCTCCACAGGAGCTGGACTGTGAGAGACACGTGGGTGTGATGGACACTCAGAGACTCTGAGACTCAGAGACTCTGAGACTCTGAGACTCAGGGACTCAGAGACAACATGGGCTGAGGTCACATCTCGGACTCCTGGACAGAGACTCACTGGTTCTGACTCTGAATAAAGCCTCATTCAACAGGTCCTGGATCATGGACTTCTGAAGACACTGGACTGAGTTTAAGGACACGCGTGTCCAGACGGAGGCAGAGCCAGAGACAGACAACAGGGATCAGTGTTTACTGTGACTCACTGTCATCAGCTGCTGTTTAGCTTCAGTTTGACTGAGGGTGGAAAATGTGTTTCTAACATCCTGAACTCTGACACACACACACACACACACACACACACACACACGGACACACTCGTCCCTCCTGTCCATTCTGAGTGTGATGTCTCCTCATCTCCTATGCACTGATGGAGGAGGACAGGAGGACACACTGACAGCTGTCCTTCTGAAGACAACAGATGAAGATGATGGACCCTCCTCTTCCTCAGAGGTTAGAAGAATCCTGACTCCAGCCCACGACCACAGGTCCAGTCTTCAGAGAGACCACCCACTGAACATGAGCTCATCTGAAGGTCTGAGGCCTGAGACACTGAGAGAGGGAGGGGGGACTCATATGTGAGGGAGGATGGACTTCAGAAGAGGGAGGGGGGAATCAGTCCAGACTGAAGTCTGAGGTCTCTGAGGGAGACCTGGAGGTTTCAGACAGGACGACACAAACACGCAAATACAACACCACAAACTGCTGCTCAGCACCGCCATGTTAGTTATTGTGATGTTGTGGTTGTTTGTTTACACAGAGACAATCAGCTGATCACAGGTTTTCATTAGTTAACAGAGAGCAGCAGTGTCGTCACGTTTCCTTCTCAGAGCAGTACAAAAAACACATGATACAGGTTTTTACCCTCATTCTGGTTCTGAGTCCAGAAGACCAAAGACTACAGACCAAAGACTAAATACTAAAGACTACAGACTACAGACTACAGACTAAAGACCAAAGACTAAATACTAAAGACTACAGACTACAGACCAAAGACTAAAGACCACAGACTAAAGACTCCAGACCAAAGACTACAGACCAAAGACTAAAGACTACAGACTAAGACTAAAGACTACAGACTACAGACTAAAGACTAAAGACTGCAGACCAAAGACTAAATACTAAAGACTTCAGACTACAGACCAAAGACTACAGACCAAAGACTAAAGACCAAAGACTAAATACTAAAGACTACAGCCTACAGACTAAAGATCAAAGACTAAAGACCAAAGACTAAAGATAGATAGATAGATAGATAGATAGATAGATAGATAGATAGATAGATAGATAGATACTTAATTTATCCCTATGGGGAAATCCATGTGTCCATTAGCTCATTGTTGATAATGACAATAATAAAAACAGTTAATAACAAACGAACAATAATAATTAGATTAGTCCACTTCCTCTGGCTGAGCTGTTCTACAGCCTGATGGCAGTGAGAACAAAGGTTCTCCTGAACCTCTCTGTTCTGCAGCGCAGGGAGACGTTTGCTGCAGCTGTAGCTGCTTCTCTGTCCTGCCAGTATGTTGTGGAGAGGATGGTTGGTATTGTCCAAGATGGCCTCCATCTTACATTGCATGTGTCTCTCCACAACAGTCCTGAGTGAGTCCAGACTCCTGCAGCACAGACGCAGCCTCTTTGACCAGCTTGTCCAGTCTCTTTGTGTTCATGTCTGATAAAAGAGTACACTGGCCACCACTGGCTGATAAAACATGTGCAGCATTTCACTGCAGATGTCAAAGGACCTGAGCCTCCTGAGGAAAAAGAGCCGGCTCCACCCCTTCAGGTAGATGGCATCTGTGTAGAGGGACCAGTCCAGTTTACTGTCCAGGTGCACACCTAGGTATTTATAAGTGTGCACCACCTCAATGTCCTTCCCTCAAATATTGACTGGCTGAAGGGTCGGCCTAGACCTCCGAAAGGCCATGACCATCTCCTTGATCTCAGGTGTTCAGGCCATCATCAGATCTCTGTACTCCTCTTCCTGCCCGTTTCTGATAGGCGCCACAATAGCTGTGTCATCTGAATATTTCTGGATGTGGCAGGACTCAGAGTTGTATTTATAGTTGGCCGTATACAGGGTGAACCAGAACAGACCCCTGTGGAGCCCCAGTGCTGCTCATCACTGTCCCTGAGACACAGTTACCCATTCCTGACATACTGTGGTTGTCTTGTCAGGCAATCCACAATCCAGGATGTGAAGCAGGGATCCATCCCCATCCCTTCCAGCTTGTCTTTAAGAGTGGGGGATTGGATGGTGTTAAATGCACTCGAAAAATCAAGAACATAATCCTCATGTAACTACCTGGCTCATCCAAGTAAGAATGGGCTGGTGGAGCATGTAAAGGACGGCACCATCCACTCCAATGTGTTCTTTGTAGGTGAACTGTAGGGGGTCTAGTGCTGTTCAACCTGTGGCCTCAGAAGGTGGAGAAGCAGCCGCTCCAGGGTCTTCAAAAGACTAAAGACTGAAGACTAAAGATTAAAGACCAAAGACTAAAGACTAAAAGGATGTGAGCTGCCAGACACTCCGCTGAGTCACAGAAGTTACGTTAAACCTTAAACATGTTCAGTTTAAACACAGACATCAGTGAACTCATTGCTGCTTCATTCTGTTTATATTGTCCAGCAGAGACTTCATCACTCTGTCACCACTCTGCCAGCTGGACTGTCTTCATCAGGATCAGGAGCCACCGTCTGGACCTGGACCAGAAACTTTTTAAAGTCTGCAGTGGTCCTGGTTCTGGAGCAGGTCTGTGACGGTGGACAGAAGGCATGAAGACACATAAACACTGATGGACAGGTGAGTCTCACCTTTTATCACAGCTGCTGTTTTTAACTTGTCTTCATCTGTGATGGTTTTAGAGAAACACACTTTGTCTGTCTCTGTGTCTCTGTCTGTCTCTGTCTGTGTCTGTGTCTCTCTGTCTCTGTCTGTCTCTGTCTGTGTCTCTCTGTCTCTCTGTCTCTCTGTCTGTGTGTCTCTCTCTCTGTCTCTGTGTCTCTGTGTCTCTGTCTGTCTCTGTCTGTCTCTCTGTCTCTGTCTCTCTGTCTGTGTCTCTCTCTCTCTGTGTCTCTGTCTGTCTCTGTCTCTCTGTCTGTCTCTCTGTCTGTGTCTCTCTGTCTGTCTCTCTGTCTGTGTCTGTGTCTCTCTGTCTGTCTCTCTGTCTCTCTGTCTGTCTCTCTATCTGTGTCTGTGTCTCTCTGTCTGTCTTTCTGTCTCTGTCTCTCTGTCTGTCTCTCTATCTGTGTCTGTGTCTCTCTGTCTGTCTTTCTGTCTCTGTCTCTCTGTCTGTCTCTCTATCTGTGTCTGTGTCTCTCTGTCTGTCTTTCTGTCTGTCTGTCTCTGTCTCTCTGCCTGTCTCTCTGTCTGTGTCTGTCTCTCTGTCTGTCTCTCTGTCTGTCTGTCTCTGTCTCTCTGTCTGTCTCTCTGTCTCTCTGCCTGTCTCTCTGTGTCTCTGTCTCTGTGCTGTGAAGAATCTCAGCCCATCACTGATCACTGACCCCCCCCCCTCCATTGGTGTGTGTAATGACATTATAAAGACTTCAGTCTTCGACTGCATGAATGAAATTACATGAGTGAAATTGACTTGACCCATAATTTATATTGATCATAGTTTATTTATATTGATCATAATGAATGATCAGATGAAGGAATGATGACGGTGAAGGCTAGGGAAAGTCTGCAAACTGGAAAAATCCCAGTAAAGAAAAAAGTAAGTGTGTGAGTGTGTGTGTGTTCTTCACACTCCTCGGTGAAGTCCTGACATGAGTGAGTAAAAGCTGCTCCTTCCTCTCCACTCATGACCTTTGACCTCTGAGAACATCTGCTGGAAACCTGAACACAAAGCAGCTCTGTGTGTGACAGTACATCTGCTGCACCCACACACACACACACACACACACGCACACACACACACAAAGAGAAAGACAGAGCGCTCCCTCTGCTGGTGAGAGAGAAAGAAAACATGACAACATCAATCTATAACTGATAGTTTACGTAGATGAAGGAGGAGAGAGGAGCTTGACGTCTGTTCTAGAAACTTTTCCGTTTCTCAGACTCAGTGATGGAAACAAAAAGCTACTGACACCTGATCTGTTGATGTCAGTCTGACTCCGCCCACTGCTCTACCAGGTGCCAGCTCCTGTTACTGATGCATTCAGATGCTGTCTGAAAGCCTGGTGTTTCCACAGTGAGGAAACATGGGAGTCTGTTATTCTCAGGTCATTAATCATGGAGACGTAGACTCACAGTTTCTATAGAAACACTTCCTGGAAATAAGCAGCTAATTTATCTTTAATTAACAGTTATTTCTAAATGCTAAGCTAACACATCAAGCTAACAGGGCAGCAGCCGAACATGTGTGCTCTCATCAGACTTGGATGGTCACATTTACAGCAGCACCTGAGGGCAGCATCCCTCTAATGCAACATGAGACCAGAGATGGTTTATAGTGAAGACGAGTCACTTTGTCATAAAGATCAAACACCACATGTTGTGTGACCTTTGACCCACAGCTCCATCACCTTTGCACAGATAAGAAACTTTTACTGCGAAAATCTTGTTGCACTGTTATGAGTTCAGTGATTCTATTATGAAAATAATAATTTCGGATAAACAGAAGAGTCAGTCAGTCAGTCAGTCAGTCAGTCAGTGTGAATAATCTACATGATCCAGGAGGAAATCCTTCCTGGACTCTGCTGGTCTGATGGTTTTGGTTCCTGAATACAGGGCAGAGTGAGAGCTCTCTACCGTCTGTCCTATCTGTGCAGCTCTCAGTCAGAGTAAGTGGGAGGAAGCCGAGATCCTCAGACAGAGCAGACAGCTGAGTCCTCCACACTTCCTGCGCTTCTTCTTCATCAGCTGATCCAGCAGCTCTGATCCGGATCTGCAGAGAGAGGGGGGATGGGGGGGGCACACTGATGTGAACCACACCTCTTCAGACTGGTCGTTATTGTGAAACAACTGTTCTGTTGGAGCGGACATGCCGGTCCAGGTCCCGGACGACTCGGACTTCTCCTCGTTCAAAGACCAGTGTCTGAGCGCGGACGGATGGTCGAGCTGCTACAGTAAGGGGGGGGTAACGGTGTGGTGCCGAGAGGAGGAGAGCAGGACCGTCCAGAAACTCAAGGTGAGGACAACACTAACCTTCCTGCGCTGCTCTGTGGTTTCCCGCCCTCAGAAACTCTTCAGGTGAAAGAGTGAAAGTCTGATTCTGGTGATATGAGTTTTTTACACAACAACATCCAGTAAAGACTCAGACATACCTGAGGAACACCTGTCAACAGGTAAAGGGTTAATATGACGTCAGAGACCATCAGGGATCGGTGCAGGTTCATGTTACACTGAGAATCTCATTAACATCATGAGGAGGTCCACAGGTTCAGGTCTGGGTCCTCTTCTGTTTTCTGTTCTCATTAATGTGTAAACATCAAGCTTCACTGACACCCACTGAGCACTTTATTAGGAACACCTGTACACTTGCTCATTCATCCAATCGGCCAATCACGTGGCAGAAGCAGATCAGGGAGCAGAAATTCAGTTCATCAAACATTAGAATCCGGATCAAAGAGACTCTGACTGTTGATGTGTCATTTATATCTGATCATTAATATCTGATCACTAATATCTGATCACTTATATCTGAATGTTAATATCTGATCATTTATATTTGATCATTAATATCTGATCATATTTATCTGATCATTGATACCCCAGTCTAGTCCAGTCTAGTTCAGTTCAGTCAAGCCCAGTCCAGTTTAAACCAGTGCAAACCAGTTTAAACCGGTTTAAACCAGGTTAGAGTGCAGAGGAGAGAAGCTGCCCTCTGAGGAGTCTGACCACAGGAAGTCACCGTGGAGACAGTGTTTGTGTTACTGTACACACACACACACACTGTGACAAAGGCAGAGCTGATGATGACGATGATGATGATGATGATGACGATGATGATGAAGGCTCCTGTGTTAATAATTCAGACAGTCTTTCTGGAGCAGTGAGGCGCTGCTTCTCACACATGAATAATTCAAGTCTGCTGACGACACCTGAGTCTGACAGTTCACCTGTGGACAGGTACAGAGTGACTCCTCTGGGTCACAGTATTTTAATACAGCTGTTTTTCTGTTTCTGTTGTCATGACAGCACAAGAACATTTAGACACCATGTCATCCAGCAGTCACTAAAAGCCTGATGTTATAACCACGAAGCGTCATTACAGACACTGAGACTTCAGCTGTATTTAACATGAGGAGACGTCTCTCAGAGGACAGCCTCCGTCAGTCTTTAATTAGAGATATGTAAATTCGTCATAGTCGTTAGTACGAAGCCTCATTACCAGTGACTTCTCTCTCTCCCTCCCTCCCTCCCTCTCTCCCTCCCTCTTTCTCTCTCTCTCTCTCCTTGGTGTGTCTGATGTTCAGTTATTCCTCTTGCCTTCAGTAATAATGACACCCTGAATCAAAGTAGTTTATCTGCTGTAATGGAGGCAAGGCTCAGTGTATTGGAAGTGCTCCTCCTCTTCCCTGAAGGGGAAACCAGAGTGGCTCAGTAGACTGTAACAAGAGGTGTAGCCCTGAGCCCCCTGCATCAATACATGGTCCAGACCTGGACCAGGTCCAGTCATGAACCAGGTCCAGACCTGGACCAAGGTTATACCCAGTCTATTTGAAGCAAAGTCTCAAAAAAAAGGAACAATGAGCTGCAGCTTTAAACACCCCTCAAAAGAACCTGTTTGATCCAGAAACTATGATCACTCAGTCATGTAGGTACAGGTAGAGACTGAGGACAGGTAGATACAGGTACAGACAGGTGCAGGTACAGAGAGGTAGAGACAGGTACAGGTACAGACAGGTAGAGACAGGTACAGGTAGATGAAGGTGCGGACTTGATGAATGATTAAAGCTGCAGCTGATTGAGTTACATGGAGCCTCTCTCAGTATCTGATGACAGCAGTGGAAAATAGTGACATCCTGCAGTTCGCTGCCATGTCACATGACCACGTCTATTAGACTCTGACAGGAGGGAGAGGGGCTCTCCTCTACCTGATAGAAATCTCTCTACAACGAGCAGTTGTGTTTCAGAAAACAGAAAACAGAGGAGCCCTGTGGAACACCTGAGGAAGGTGAGTGGTATCTGACACCACGCCCACATCTCAGGTAAATTAAACAGGAAGAAAGACTGCGTGGTCAGAGGACTGAGGATACTTGGTCCCTGCCTGTCTGTTAATTCCTTCTCCACACCAACAGCTGCTGTGGGTTCAATCATCCCAACAGCTGGGATGATGATGATGATGATGATGATGATGATGATGATGTGATAATGATGATGATGGTGATGATGATGATGGTGATGATGATGATGGTGATGATGATGATGGTGATGATGATGATGATGATGATGATGATGATGATGATGATGATGATGATGATGATGATGATGATGATGATGATGGTGATGATGATGATGATGATGATGATGATG